ATCTGTTCCCCGAGGGCTGGGCTCAGCCTCGGCCTCCTGTGTCTTCTCCGGGCCAGCACAGCCCTAGGCACAGGGAAGATGCCATTGGGTTTTCAGAATGAGGAGTGACAAGGTGCCTTGAAGGCGTGGGAAGCCTGACAATGGCCTCTGCTGACTCTACAATTTATTCGCTAGGCCAAATGACAGCGGGGAGCTGGGACACTCCCAGAGGCCTCTGAGAGGAAATGCCTGGGCTGGTTCCTGCTAGGACAGGGCTGTCACCACTCTGGAAAGCCCCCATGGCCCTGGGCCTGAGGCCAAAATCCAGACCCAAAGGAAAGTCCCCCCAGCAAGGCCCTGCTACCCAACTCCCAAGGAGGGTCCCAGGCAGAGGAGAGAGTAACTCTGAGGGTGACCGGTCATCTGTAATCCCAGCCTCTAACAGGTCAGAGCTCCCTGAGGGTGGGTGGAGAGCAAGGAGGGCAGGGCTGGAGTCGGCAGGAGTCCAGGGCAGGAAGGAAACAAGAAACAATCAAGGAAAAATCCAGCCTGGGTCTGGGGTTGGCTCAGGCCACGCATAGGGCCCTGCTGGCTGGGCTCTGGCTGGGACCGGCTCCTTCCCAGCTCGCTGCCACCCTGTGGCCCAGCGGGGGGAGCTGGGGCACCTCCAGAGACCCCATTCTCTTCTTAGTGCCATGCTAGACACCCCCCAAGAGGATCACCACCCTTCCCTTGTGACTCCACTCCCAGATCCCTGGCCCTGTCATCCCACCTGCCTCCCAGGGTCCTAGGTCCCAGGTGGCGGGGCCTCAAAGAGCTGGCATCAGTCTTGCAGGACATGGGGGGGGTGCTTCCTGTTGGTCTGTCCGGTCTGGTCAGCCCTGGGGGACGGGGCTTCCAACTCCATCCCCCAGGGCCTTAGGGGACTGTGGCCACTGATGAAGGCCATTTCCAGGAAGAAGAGGCTGGGAGGGGAAGGAAGGGCTGAGTCAGTCCCCATGAGGTAATCACAGTGGGGGCAGGTAGCTGGCGGCGGGCGGAGGGGGCCCCTAGTGGGCCCATCTCAGGGCCAGTAAGAGGCTCCAGGCTGAGGCGAAGGAAGCTGAACACCCCACTCTGGGTGTTTCTCCATCGTGGCCTGCTCTGCCCTCCCAAATGCTCTCAGCCACCAGGGTGTCCCAGAGCCCTTCCATGGGCCATAGTCCCAGCCCTGGCTGAGACATCAGACCATGCACATGGGGTCCAAGTTTGGGCAGGGGACTTGGCCTGAGTGTCTTCTGGGTCAGGAATGCAGGCCACCCTGCTGTCCCTGAACTCAGGCTATCCCCGCCTCCCCTCCCACGCTGGGGCCCTGACACACAGCCTGAGAAATTGGGCAAAAATAGCCAATTTTAGTAGATGAAATCCTGTTTTATGAATGCTTATTAATGGCGCGGCTCCCGTGGCGATGCTGGGTGTGTACACAAAGTTCCTGTCCATTCAGCAGAACCTCCCCAGGGATTCTGTGGGCCCAGCCAAGTGTCAACCACATCTGTGAATGGGGACAAGGAAGCGTCCTTCCTGAGCACTTGCAGAAGGCAGAACCCTGATCGCTCCTGAGATGCGGGCTTGGACCGGGCCTGTGCTCTGGGTGACAGCAGTTGTGGACCAAGCAGTAAGGGAGCCAGTACTGAGCAGAACCTTGTCACATCCCAGTGGGCTTCAAACAGTCCCCAGGGCACAGACGGCGGTTCCAGTCCTGGCTTGGAGCCAGCCTGGCAGCCAGGCTGAGGGAAGAGAGCAGGAGCTAGGGCCAGGCTTGGAGGCTCCGCTGCTCCCTATCCCCCCCCAGAGACCCCACCAGAACCTCTTCAAAGAGCCGTGGAGTTGTTGGTTCCTGGCTGTGTGTGGCCTTGTGTGAGTGCCTCTGTCTGTCTTCCATCCCTGTAACTTTGTTTTGTCACCAGCTCTGAGTGGAACCCCTGATCCTTCCCCACCCCCCACCCCAGGGTAGGACCCCCCGCTGATGGGCAGGGGCTGGGAGCTTCACCTCAGCCTCAGTCCTGCAGGCTCAGGTGGCTTCATCATTAGGGGTTTTTTTTTTTTGTTTTTTTTTTTTGACAGTCTCACTCTGTTGCCCGGGCTAGAGTGCCGTGGCATCAGCCTAGCTCACAGCAACCTCAAACTCCTGGGCTCAAGCAATCCTCCTGCCTCAGCCTCCTAGGTAGCTGGGACTACAGGCACGTGCCACCATGCCCAGCTAATTTTTTCTAGTTTTAGTTGTTTGGCTAATTTCTTTCTATTTATAGTAAAGACGGGGTCTCGCTCTTGCTCAGGCTGTCTCCAACTCCTGAGCTCAAAGGATCCTCCCACCTCGGCTTCCCAGAGTGCTAGGATTACAGGCGTGAGCCACTGTGCCCCGCCTCATCATTAGGGTCTTTACAGCAAGGCTGCGAGACCAGCCCACCGTGCGCCAAAGCTCCTGTTACAGGTAATGTTTCCAGGAAACTGTGCCACCCAAGGGGCTGTGTATTCATGCAAGTCCTTTATCTTGCTTGGAACTCACATTACCTGATGCTACTGTCCCATTTTACAGGCAAGGAGGTTCCGAAAGGAAGTCCTTTGCCTGTGCCACAGGCCAAGTCAGGATGGCAGAACCAGCTCAAAACCTAGTCGCTAGTTCAGAGGCCAACGACCAGGCACTGGGCTGTCCCTCATCTCTGAGCTCTGCGTCGCTGAGGAGAGGGATGGCAGGGATGATAATTAGGGGAAGCCTGAGGAGGGCCCAGAGCCCGTGAGTCTTGCTACCTCCAGGCTGAGCAAATCACTGTCATTGCCCTGAGCTTCAGTTTCTGTCTCTAAAATGGGGATAATGACCCGGGCCCTGGCCACCCCACCAGGCCCTCAGAAGGATTTGAGGAGTTCAGGCACAAGAGACTATTGGTAACGGCCCCCATGTGGGTGGGTGTCTGGCAAAGCCCAGGTGGCAAGAAGGGGGAGAGCCACACCCTTTACCCACCCACACCAAGACTTGGCCCAGGGCCACCATCCCCACTTCCTCAGCTGTCCAGGCCCCAGTCTCCCCCCAAGCCACCAGGCTAGTCCAGCACAATCCACCTGGCCGACTCTCCCTGCGGAGCTGAGGGAGAACAGGTAGGCTCAAGATTAAAACCTGAAACGTCCCTGTATTCATCTTCTATTGCTGCTGGAATGGATGATCACACACTTGGTGGCTTAAAACAACACAAATTAATTATCTCACAGTGTTGTAGCTTAGAAGTCCAACATGGGTCTCACTTCACAAGATCAAGGTGTCAGCAGACTGTGTTCCTTCTTGAGGCTCTAGGGACACTCCATCTCCTTGCCTTCTCCAGCTTCTAGAAGCGCATGAACCGCTTGGTTTGTGGCCCCTTTCTCTATCTTCAAAGGCAGCGGTGCAGCATCTCTCTGGCCTTTCCTCACCATCACACCTTTCTCTGACTGTTCTTGTCTGTCTCCCTCTTCTACTTTGAAGAACTCTTGTTATTACACTGGGATAATTATCTAGATAATTCAGGATAATCTACTTTAAATGATGATTTAATAATCATCATTCCATCAGCAACCTATTTTTTTGAGGCAGAGTCTCACTCTGTTGCTTGGGCTAGAGTGAGTGCCGTGGCGTCAGCCTGGCTCACAGCAACCTCAAACTCCTGGGCTCAAGCGATCCTCCTGCCTCAGCCTCCCGAGTAGCTGGGACTACAGGCACAAGACACCATTCCCAACGAACTATTATATTTTTAGTAGAGACAGGGTCTCGCTCTTGCTCAGGCTGATCTCAAACTCCTGACCTCAAGCGTTCCTCGGCCTCATAGAGTGCTAGGATTACAGGGGTGAGCCACCACACCCGGCCATCGGCAACCTTAATTTCCCTTTCCCATGTGACAGAAGATGTTCACAGGTTCTGAAGATTAGGCTGTGAACATCTTTAGGAGCTGTTATGCCACCTGTCACTGCTCTCTTCTTCCCATCCTCCCTTCCCTCCTGGCTTGGCTGACATCTCCCCCACCTCCCCAGTATCTTCCCCTCCTTCCCGAGATCTTCCTGGCCCTGCCTCCCTAAGGGCCCTTTCCACATTTACAGTACCACAAGCCAACCATCCTGGTCACACTAAACTGTCACACTGTCACCCTCTAGAAAGCAAGGTCCCCTCTATCACTATCTACCCATTCCTTTTCCTCACTTTTCCTAGCACTCACCCACCTGGAAGGGTATCACAGTACACTTGGGAACTTGGATTCTCTCCATTTCCCTTCTTTGAGCTGTAGGTCCCAATCCAGACGGGCTGAATCCCCAGTGACAAGAACAGAGCTTGGCACTTAGTAGATGCTCAAGAAATATCTGTTCAATCATGGAATGGAACAAGGACAAAGTTTCCTTCAGTTTGTCTCCAACACCCTGTGCAGTGCCTACCCTACGGAAATTGTTTCTAGTACCATATGCATGAACGACTAGCTGAATGAATGAATGAACAAATGAACAAGCCTGAGTCTGAACCCCACCCCCATTCCGGAAGCCTGACAGCAGTGCCCAGGCAATACTGCCCCCTCTCCCTCTCAATACCCTCATTTCCAGGGGACGGTAAATTCATCAAAACGCTCGTAAGTTTGTTGTATTTTAACGTGGGCGTCTCCACGGCCTCATTCATTCCCTTAGTCACTGAATACACTTGTGCGGGCGCCTCCCCCGACCCAGCCCTGCACGGAGGGAACTGGTCCAAGGACGCTCTGCGAATTCTGAAGAATTCGGTCTTCCGGCCGCCGCTCCCCCAGCCTTTCTAGAACCGAGCGTGTGAGCTCCGACAGGCACAGTCGGAGTCCGCAGAGTGCAGCCCGGGCACCCGGTGCCGCCTGGCCCGCAGCCGCCCGAGCCAGGACGGAGCCAGCGCGAGGCGCCTCTCCCGAGGCGGAGCCCAGGGCCGTGCCCGGAGCGGGGCGGGGCTGTGGGCGGGGCCTGCATGGAGCGGCCCTGGCATTGGCTCTGCGGGCTGGGGGCGGGGCTTCAGGGCCCAAGGTCCGCTCGGTAAGTTCACAGCCCGGGTCGGGTCGCACAGCCGCACGGTCCAGCTCCGGAGCTTTTGCCGCCCGCCGGTCGCTGTCTGCAGGCCTCACGGTGAGTTCGGACTGGGATTCTGCAGCTCGTCTGCGGCTCCGCGGCACCCCCGGGAGGCCCATCTCCGTGGCGCCTCGCCCCAGCTCGCGCCCATCCCACCTCTGCGCAGGTCCTTTCGCGGGCGCCTCGGGCTCCGTGAGGTTTCCCGCCCGCGCCTCGGCCCCCACAGCCCCACCCGTGCCCCCACGGCCGTGGGCGCCGCGCATCCCTGCCCGAATTCCCCCCTCCGCTCTCCATTCTGTCCCCAGTCCCCGCTCCCCGCCCAGGACCCAGGAGCACCATGCTGCTGGCCAGTGTCCCCGCCGGGGCTGGGGGCCGTATTTTTAGCCGATGGTGAGGTGTCCTCCTATCTTTAGCTGCGGCCGCGGGCTGGGCTGGGCTGCGCCGTGCCCGGGCAGGGGGCGGGGAGGGGTCGGCGCCGGAACCCGAGCCGGGCTGAGGAGCCAGACCCGTGGGAGGGGCAGGGGCCTGCACGCCAGAGCGCTGGCCCCGTGCCGAGAGGACACTCGGACATCGCCCAGGCCGGAAGGCACGGGAGAGGCTCCTCCCAGAGCTTCCTGGTCGCCCCCTTTTCCCTATTTGTCTGATTGCGCGACCAGAAACCCAGAAGGGAAAAAGATCCCGCAAACAATCCCCATCTGGTATTCGAACGCGCAGCTCCTTGGGGGGGCGCCTGCCTGGAGCCAGAGGCGCGCTGGAGGCCCTGTGCGCTCCCGGACCCCTCTGGTACGCAGGGCGATCGCGGGAGCGCGCACCACCTAGCGGCTGTGGAGCTGCTCGCTGCTCCGCACGGGGACCCCGGGAGACCCCAAGGCGAGCCAGGGGTACTCCGCGCTGGCCATATTGGAGAGGGCTGGAGGAGGTGGATGCCTAGGGCCAGAGGCCCCAGGTCTTGTTTTTGGTCTTGTTCAAGCAGTGTCCCCGGAGAACCAAGGTGATTGAGAAAGGCCTTGCAGGTATTTGCTAAATGAATGATGGGACTGACAATGACCCACAGACCCCGCCTATTGTACATTGGCACTCTCACTTGCAACATAGCAGTGGGGTCTCTAGCAGCCCTCTGGTAGTGGTTTACTGTCAGCCCATCTTATAGATGGGAAAGGTGAGACCCACAGAAGAGAGGCGTCTTGCCCAAGGTCACAGAGCGAATTCCAAGTGGAGCTGGATTTAAGGTTGGTCTCCTGACTTCAAGGTCTGGGGGCTACTCCTTGAACATCCGTAATAGGGGATGGCCTAATATTCCTTATGACAGGAGGGGCTTTGCCTCCAAGAAGTCATTTTCTCTGCGGAAGGCCCAGCGCCCCTGTCCAGGGCAAGCCCAGAGAGCTGGGTTGGCCCCATCTGATTCCCCACTGCTGCAGGGAGCCACCTCTCCCAGCCCCCCACAACCTTGTCCCGAGGGAGAGCTCATTCTCTTATCTCGGTACATGTGCAAGTTGGGCAGAGGAGGGGAGCCAAAGGGAAGGACTTAGGTGCAGGAGGCCTGGGTACCTGGACGCCCCAGCCTAGCTGGGAGCCTATTTTTGTCTGGCTTGCCCCCCAACCAGATTACAGTGGTCGGCATGGCCCACTGCATTGGAGCCACATGGACCAGGCTGGGCAGCATTGCCCACTCTTACTCTTACTAGCTGGATGACCTTGACCTCGGCAAAGTTACTTGACATCTCTGAGGTTCACCTTGTGCCTCTGCAAAGGGCAGTAATGACCCCACCGTGCCGTGGCAGGGAGCGTTAAAATGAGAAACTGCGTGGCAAGCAGAAGCCAAGGGTCTTGTGGCTGCCAGATCTGAATACTTGGGCCTTGATGGTTATAATTCCCAGCTCTCTGGGCGGCTGATGCTGGCCCCACCCTCCGTTCTCTCTACATCTGGAATTGGGTGGGTACATCTGGCTTGGAGTGAGACAGCTGTCAGGGACACCCAGATTGGTTTGTTGTAGAAACACTCAGGCTGTCTTGGCGCTCCTGTGCGAGGGGGTGGGGATAGGGGGAGGACCTGGCCCAGGCTCTGGGCAAGTCCCACCAGTCAGCCGCACTTTCCATGAATGAAAGGGAGGAAAAGTAATGCCAGGGCTTCTTACCTGACAAGGGATGTATTAGATGTTTGTCAGCATGCCCCCAGGCGTGGCATGGTGGACACAAGCTGAGTGACTGATGGGGTTCCAAGACCTCAGGGCACCCATGCCTCCCCACCCTCCCCCCAGCTCCTTCCAGGCTTAGCTGGAATTCCGATACCAGAGAGTCATCCTTTGTTTCCCGTTAAGCTGCAGGTGCTCTGGGAGGAGAAGATGTCTGGCCTCTCTGGCTCTGCGTGACTGACCCGGGGTGTCCAGTCTTGGGGTGGGGCTTCCTGAGAAAGGGCCTGGGCTGGTGGGGGAGGCAGTTGGGATTCTGCCACTCCTGCATCCTCCTCCCTTCTTCCTGTGCCCTCCCACCAGCCCCATGTCCTCCCCCTCCCCCTGTCCAGGATGAAGAATGGGGCAGAAGAAGGCAGCAGCCTCCTCTGCTCAGCCCCTGGCCTGCCTGCGGAGGACAGTGGGAAACATTGGCTGACCTGGCTTCAGTCTTGGCCCTGCCCTTAATCACTGAGTGACCTTAGAGGAGTGTCTTTTTCGTTTTTTGGTTTTTTTTTAGAAACAAAGTCTCACTCTGGGCAGGGTGCGGTGGCTCACGCCTGTAATCCTAGCATTCTGGGAGGCTGAGGTGGGCGGATCACTCGAGGTCCGGAGTTCGAAACCAGCCTGAGCAAGAGCGAGACCCGGTCTCTACTATAAATAGAAATTAATTGGCCAACTAATATATACAGAAAAAAAAAAAATGAGCCGGGCATGGTGGCACATGCCTGTAGTCCCAGCTACTCGGGAAGCTGAGGCAGAAGAATTGCTTGAGCCCAGGAGTTTGAGGTTGCTGTGAGCTAGACTGACGCCACCACACTCACTCTAGCCTGGGCAACAAAGCAAGACTCTGTCTCAAAAAAAAAAAAAAAGTCTCACTCTGTCACCCAGGCTGAAGTGCAGTGACCTGATCTTATCTCACTGTAACCTAAAACTCCTGGGCTCAAGCGATCCTTCTGCCTCAGCTTCCCAAGTAGCTGGGACTACAGGTGTGCGACACCACACCCAATTGATTTCAAACTCCTGAGCTCAGGTGCATCCCCCATCGGCACCCCCACCCAGAGGGGATGCCTGCTCCATTTCCTTTTCTGTTAAACTAGGACGACATCCCTTCATAGTATATTCATTTTTCCACATTAAAAATAGCTTTATTTTTTCCTGGGTACATAAATAATATGTGCTTATAAATAATACATGCTTATTTACTAAGAATTCAAGTTTCTAAAAGCCTGAACAAAAAAGGAAAAGTCAGCCTGCAATTCTACCACTTTGAGATAACCACCACTAACATTTGGGCCACTATCCTTGCATATTTACATATATCATACACATATATCATGCGAAGTAATGGCACTAAATATTACAAATTAGTTTTACTGAGGACACCTTTCCTCCCCTATCAGTGACCTCACACCCCATCCTTGTCCTGCACCCCAGTCAAGGTAGCCCATATGACAACCTAGTGCTGGCCTTCCACATTTCTCCTCTGTTGTTATATAGGATAGAATGCTACACAGGCCTGCATACCTATGTATGTATGGAGCTACATATGCATCTACGGGGGGAAGGAGGGTTAGTCAATGCCTTCAATAAATGGTATTGTCTATGCTACCCTTTTGCATTTTACTTCTTTCTCTCTGTAATGTCTGTGGGAATCCCTCCAAAATGTCTGATACCTCTCATTTTCAAATGGGGTTGATTGTAGGGTGGTTGTGTTGATGAATTGAGATGTGTTTGCAAAGAACTCAGAAGAATGACAGGTACAGAGCAGAGCACCCTCCCCCCAAAATATCTGTCCTCCTCACACCACCTTCTCTTTAGGTGCTGGGGAAGGAAGGAGGGCCAGAGACTATATTAGACCCAGCCCCTGCCCAAAAGGAGTTCCAAACCTGGAGGAGGAGAAAAGGGAAACTGAGGTGACCTCACCTCCATTGGGACATGACTGGGCCAGATGGGAGGTGTGAGCCATTCAGCACCCTTGGCTGAATGCCTGCCGTGTGTCTAGCTGCTTGCCAGGCCTGGGAGGGAGAGACAGAGGTTACAAGCTCTCTGTCCTTGGTTGAACAGGGAGTTGTGAGACCCCCCACACAATTTGGCCCTTACCATGTTGTAGGTACAATTAATGGCAATGGTGGACAGGGTAGGGAGTACTTAAATGAGGGTGATGAGCTCCATATTGCCTGGGACCCAGGGCAAGAGACCAGAGCAGGGCTCTGTATGTGACTTTGGGCTTGTCACTCGGGTTCCTGGGCCTCAGTTTCCTCACATGTAAAGGGAGGGGCTTGGTGCCGGAGGTCCAGTCCCTAAGATGCAGTGGGTCCTAAAGACATAGCCAACATGTCAAAAAAAAAAAAAAAAAAAGATGCAGTTGGTCCATGCTTCTTCCCGCAGGGCTCCCCCATAGGAGAGGGGGCCCCCCCTGGGCTCCCAGGGCTGATGCAGGGAGCCCAGAGACAAGACAGATGCTTCTGACTTTTGTCCTCCTGTCCCTGACTTGCGTGTACCTTTTCTGTTTCAGCTCCTCAGCCCCAGACCAGGGAGAAATTCTTGAGGACAAGACCAAAGTGTGTTGCTGCCTACAAGAACCCCTCTTCTATGGGGAGAAAGTGATTTTTGTTATCTCAACCCTCTGACGTCACTGATCTTTAATCTTTCTTTTCCTAATTCCTTGAGCCAACTTTGGTCACGTCTACACTCCAGCCTTGAGCCCTTTGGCAAGTTTTTGGTGTCTGAAAAGCACCCTCTGGAACAAGTGTTTCTGGTTGAGGGTTTTGAGAGGAGGCTGTGGTCTCGGCAGGTGACCTGTCTCTGGCCTCGCAGCCAGGCCAGCCAGGTGAAGTCACCATGTCCACCAAGGTGCCCATCTATCTGAAGCGTGGCAGCCGCAAGGGCAAGAAGGAGAAGCTTCGCGACCTGCTGTCCTCAGATATGATCAGCCCGCCGCTGGGGGACTTCCGCCACACCATTCACATTGGCAGTGGTGGTGGCAGCGACATGTTCGGTGACATCTCCTTCCTGCAGGGCAAGTTCCACCTCCTGCCGGGGACAGTAATTGAGGGGCCTGAGGAGGATGGCACCTTCGACCTCCCTTTCCAGTTCACCCGTACCACCACCACGGTATGTGGGCGGGAGCTCCCCGATGGCCCGTCCCCTCTGCTCAAGAATGCCATCTCCCTCCCGGTCATCGGGGGGCCCCAGGCCATCACCCTGCCCTCAGCCCAGGCTCCACCCAAACCCCCTCGCCTGCACCTGGAGACCCCTCAGCCCTCCCCACAGCCTTCCCCGCAGGAGGCCGGGAGCGTGGACATCTGGAGGATACCAGAGGCTGGTTCACCCCACAATGGGCTGACCCCAGAGACAGGGGCCGAGGATCCCTTCTTGTCCCATGCAAGCTCCCTGCTGTCCCTGCATGTGGACCTGGGGCCTTCCATCCTGGATGACGTCCTCCAGATCATGGATCAGGACCTGGACCCCCTGCAGATCCCCACGTAGGACCTGCGGCTGACCAGGCTGGGTGCCCACGTTGGGGTGATGCCAGGGAGGCAGGCTGTGGACACAGCCCTGGCCTAGGAGTCAGGATCCCAGGGTCCCACCTGTGTGGTCACTGGCCAGTGATTCTCATTTTGAGCCTTTGTTTCCCTCCCACCCATCCTCTCCCCAAGGGCAGAGTGTGCCTAAGTGCTTTCCTTAACAACACCCAAGGACATGTGCGGTAGGCCCCTCGGATGACGGCTCTGCTGAAATGGACTCCCCTTATCCCTCCCTTCTGCCCAGCCCCGTTCCATGCCCTGACTGGGGGCAGGGCACAACCAGCAGAGGGCTTGAGCAGTGGGCAGGCTGTTCCGGACCTTTGGCTTCGTCCTGGACTGGGAGTGTGGTGTCGGTGACCAGATGTGTCCCACCTTGTCCGCTGCCCCATCCCTTCCCTACAGGACCAGGATCTGGTTGCAATAAAACATGCTGCTGCCAGTGGCCAAGCTCCCTGTACCCTTGTCCCAGGTTTCCTCCAAAGGGCAGGCCAGTCTCTGTGAGCTGTGGACTCACCTAGGGGAGACTCCAGCCCCAGAGGGCTTTGCGGAGGGCAGGCCCTCCCCTCGGGAAGGCTGCACCTCATTCTGAGCCCACAGTTAGGATGAAGCAGGAACAAACCAAGTGTCAATGTGGATATTCCGACATCGATTCAGCTGTTGGGCAAGAGGTGGCTGAGCACTGGGGTAGGCTACACACTGTGCCAGGTCTGGGTCCAATCCTTGCCTAGGCATCTGGGGTCTGTAAGGGGAGACCCAAGAGTGAAAGAATAGCCACAGGATGTGTGCCAGGGACCAACAGCTGCAGAGCACTGAGGGGAGTGCACGGAGCAGGGGCACCAGCCTGGGGCTGGGAGGGATCTACAATGCTGATCAGCCCATCCATGCTGCTTATTGAGCAACTACAGTGTACTTGGCATGGCTCCAGGCGCTGGGGATATAAGGCAGATGCGATCTCTGCTCTCTTGGAGCTTACATTCTAGTGAGGAGAAGAATATTAAAATTATAAATAAATTATTTCCAGCAGTGGTAAATGTTATGAAGAAAACAGTATGATCAGGAATGCCAGGGGCAAGTGGTGTCAGGGCACATTAGGGTGATCGCATGGGATTTTGAGCTGAATATGAGCTAACAGCCTTATGCTCATTCATTAGCAAAGGCACTGAGGTGGCATCAGAGTGAATGACAGAGAGGAGCCGCCACATGGCAGAAGAGCACAGACCTCTGAGACGGACTGAGCCTGTGCGAGATTCAGTTTCCCCATCTCTAAAATGGGCTTGATGATACCTACCTTGCAGGAGTTTTGAGAAATTTAGGGATATTTATTAATTGCCACATGGAAGGTATTAAAAATGGTTACAGTGTGTAACAAAGGGACTTGGGGCTCAGGAGGGGCAAGACTGTGAAGCTGGAGGACAGCTGGGCGTCAGCTGAGAACACTGTTGCTGAGGCAACGGGAGTTGCTGCCTCAGCCTCCCGATTAGCTGGGATTACAGTCGTGTACCACCATGACCAGCTAATTTTTGTATTTTCTATAGAGATGGGGTCACTGTATTGCCCAGGCTGGTCTTGAGCTCCTGGCCTCAGGCGATCTTCCCACCTTGGCCTCCCAAAGTGCTGGGATTACAAGTGTGAGCCACCACACCTGGCCCTTCCTTTTTAAGACTGAATAATATTTCATCACATGTACCACATTGTGTTTATCCATTCATCCATCAATGGACGCTTGGGTTGCTTCCACCTTTCGGCTGTTGTGAATAATGCTGCTATGAACATGGGTATACAAATATCTGTTCAATATCCTATTTTAGTTCTTTGGTGTATATACCCAGAAGTCAAATTGCTGGATCACATAATAATTCTATTTTTAATTTTTTGAGGAACAGCCATGTTTTTCATATTGCCTGCATTATTTTACATTCCCACCAAGGCTTTTCTTTCTCATTTGTACTTTTTGCCATCATATAGAGCTTGGAGATTTGATGTACTATCTGGAATGGGATTTGAACCCAGGTCTGTGGGACCCAAAGCCTGTCCGTGCTTGCAATCCCCTGCCTCCACAGGGGTTCAGCTTCACCCTCCGGTTACACTTATGATGGCAAAGGGTCGGAGAGAGCCGCACCTTCTTGCTGCAGGTCCCTCAGTGCTTGAGTGGCTTGTCCCCTTCTGCCTGGGGAAAGGCAGACAAGAAAAATGGACACCTTCCTTAGAGCTTCACCCAGAGGAAAGCAGCACCTCACCCTGGACCTCAGCTGAGGCCAGAGTAGCCGCAGAAGGACATTCCTGCCCGGAGTCCCTGGAAGGGTTCTCAACCTACCCTGCATCGGGCACCAGCCAAATGACCCTGGGAAACCACTCGGGCCTGCCTCATCAGGGTAGATAGGTAGGCGACCCAAGGCATCACATTAACTGAGCTCGGACACTTCACACCAAGGTAGCTATAGGTAGAGAGAAGGCCCCTCTCTCTTAGGCTTGTCTAGATACTATGTCCCACAAATACTATCCACAAAAGGAATTCCCCAAAATAGGGAGAAAAGTTGTTGTTGGACAGCCAACAAAATGACAAATGTTCCTACAGTCCACTCTTTTAGATGCTCAACATTCATGTATGTCTTTATTCCAGCACTCTTCAAAAAACAGCAACAACGTATCTAGCCTACCTAGTATACTGCATATATCCCTCTTTCTGTCAAAAAAAATTCACTCTTTCCAAAGGGAGACAACTCAAAGTCTTGTAATTATCACATCCACTCCCAAGTCCAGGATTTTGGGATAATGTCCATCCTCCTGCAATTCCCTTACCAGCCCATCTCAATATTTTGCAACCTATGAACTATATTGTACAGTTAATTACCACCAAATACATCCTATATAGGAGCAGAGGGAAAGAGAGAATCATGAGAATTAAAATATATATAAAATATGCTTGACACAGCTAGAAAAAATATATTATGTAGAAGCTATAGACTTTTTCTACAAGAAGGGTAAAACTGGTATAACTTTTCCTCCTTCACTACCCAGTTCATATTCCCTTTGCCTTCAGCCTTCATCTTGGCTGTTCAGGGTTCTTTAATAGGTAAGATATCCTAGACCTTTATTTTTTAAATCTGACCCCTTGGTGGCTCTGCCTGTATAGAATTTGCTTTCTCCCCAAACTTCGTTTTGAAACATTTCAAACTTACAGAAATATTAAAAGAATAGCACAGTGACCCTTCATATGCTTTCATCTACATTTGTCAATTATTACTATCTTGCCTCTTTGCTTTATCTTTTTGCATAATACATTTTTTTTCTGATCTTTTAAAAGTAAGTTGCAGGCTGGGTGCAGTGGCTCACGCCTGTAATCCTAGCACTCTGGAAGGCCGAGGCTCGAGGATCGCTCGAGGTCAAGAGTTCAAAACCAGCCTGAGCAATAGCGAGACCCCCGTCTTTACTAAAAATAGAAATTAATTGGCCAACTAAAAATATGTAGAAAAAATTAGATGCACATGGTGGCGTATGCCTGTAGTCCCAGCTACTCGGGAGGCTGAGGCAGAAGGATTGCTTGAGCCCAGGACTTTGAGATTGCTGTGAGCTAAGCTGACACCATGGCACTCTAGCCCAGGCAACAGAGCAAGACCCTGTCTAAAAAAAACCCATAAAAGTAAGTTGCAGACATTATCATACTTCAAACCAAATACTTTAGGATTTATTTCCATTAAGTCTTCATTTAGCTTACTTGGGCTTTACTGGGCTTCTTCAATCTGTGGATTTGTGTATTTCATCATTTTTAGAAAATTAGTAATCATTTTTTCTTTAAATATTGCCTCTGCCCCTTTTCTCTCCCTACCCTCTGGGACTCCAATTAATGTGTGTTAGACTTCTCACTATATCCTCGATGTCTCTACTTAAATTCTATATTTTCTGTTCTTTTGCCTTTCCATAGTATATTAAGGATACTATCTTCCAATTCACTTGTTCTCTCTTCAGCTGTGTCTAATCTACTTTTAACCCATTCCTTCATGTGTTCTTACTTTTGGTTACTATATATGGTTTTCAAAGTTCTATGTGGTTCTTTAAATTTTTGTTATGGCACTTTTTACTTGTTCCCTCCAGATATTTTTATGCTTATCTCTAATTTATTTAAACACAGTAGGCAGTGTTATTTTATGGCTCATATCAGAAAATTCCAATATCTTAAGTCTGTGAGTCAGTTTGTGTCTTCTATTGTTTGAACTGGTTCTTGTGCAAGGTTTCTTGTTTCTTTGTGTGCCTAATTACCATTGACTATGGGCAGTATATTGTATCTGAAAAAATATTTTTTTTTTTTTTTTTTTTGAGACAGAGTCTCGCTTTGCGTTGTCCAGCCGAGTGCGAGTGCGTGTGGCATCAGCCTAGCTCACAGCAACTCAAACTCCTGGGCTCGAGCGATCCTCTGCCTCAGCCTCCCGAGTAGCGGGACTACAGCGATGCGCCACCATGCCCGGCTAATTGCTTTCTTTACGCCCTGAGCTATATATATATTCAGTTGGCCATTAATTCTTTCAGTTCGTAGTAGTAGAGACGGGGTCTCGCTCTTGCTCAGGCTGGTTTTGAATCCTGACCTTGACAATCCGCGCCGCCTCGGCCTCCCAAGAGCTAGGACTTACAGCGTGAGCCCACAGCGCCCGCCCTGAGACCACAAGATAGTTTTTAAACAACTGAATTTGAGACCTAGGATGACAGTATAGTCCTTCAGAAAGGATATTATTTGGTACCAAATATGCTTGCCTTCATCAGGTGAATGAGGATATTATAAAAATGGGTCCACCTTAATCCAAGTTCAAGACTTGAGCTTTCCTAGACCATCCAGATAATAGGATTCTGAGCTACAAGTTCATAGAAGTTGACTTGTATCTCAGAGCATATATGTGTCAGTGGTGGGGTAGCTGACTTCCTAATTTGGGAAAGCTCTAGGTTTTGATTTTTGTCCCCCACTCCAAAGACTACCAAATAACATTTTAATTTCAAGGTTATATATTCCAGATTGGTAAATGCCCCCAGGACAAAAATTGCTTTGAATGCTGGACTGACTTCTCTGGGTTTTAGCCTTCTAAATGTTGGCCAGTAATTCTTCACCATACTATTAGCTTTTCAACATTTTAAAAAAAGTTTGGGGCCGGGTGCTGTGGCTCACGCCTGTAATCCTAGCACTCTGGGAGGCTGAGGCAGGCGGATCGTTCAAGGTCAGGAGTTCGAAACCAGCCTGAGCATGAGTGAGATCCCGTCTCTACTATAAACAGAAATAAATTAATTGGCCAACTTAAAATATATAGAAAAAATTAGCCGGGCATGGTGGTGTATGCCTGTAGTCCCAGCTCCTCGGAGGGCTGAGGCAGAAGGATTGCTTGAGCCCAGGAGTTTGAGGTTGCTGTGAGCTAGACTGACGCCTCGCCACTCTTTCCCAGGCAACAGAGTTAGACTCTGTCTCAAAAAAATAAATAAATAAATAAGTTTGCACTTCCTGTTTTTTAGTTTATCTTTAGAGGAAGGGTCAGAATCCAAATACCAGAAGCCTGTCTCCCCTTCACTACCTGTATATAATATTAAGAAGAGACATTCCAGGGGATTCCCTGGGTTTCATTTATATTTTTCCCTGCCCCCACTAAGTAAGAACAATCCTATTTCCCCTTAACAACTAGAATCAATCATGCCAGCCAACAGTAAGACCCTCTTTTTACTTTCTTGCCCAGTGGCCTTTGGAGCCCCAAATGGCTAATTGATAATCTCAGCTCATGATTTAGAGCAGGTGTCCTCAAACTACTGCCCGCGGGCCACATGCCACCTGCTTCGGACATTTATCCGCTGGATGTTTTGCTGCAGCTGCCAGTCCTGCTTAGCAGCCGACTTGTCCCGGTTCCACAGTGTGCACTCTCCAATGGTCTGAGGGACAGTGAACTGGCCCCCTGTTTTAAAAGTTTGAGGACCCCTGATTTAGAGAAATCATTATTATGCCCCCTGGCAGGATAATTTCTCCCTTGGGTCCCAAAGTCTCTAGAGGCCAGAGTTGCAGGAACAGGAAATAAACATTTTGCAAAAGAGTCATTAGTTGAGATTGTAAGGGAGTGCACCCCTACTGCCACTTCTTGGTTCCTGCTCATAAAAGAAAAACTAGATATACTGATCCTTGGTTCAGAGCATGTACAGTAGCTATTGTTTGGTGATACAGAATTTCTAAAAAGAATCATAAAAGAACTGAAAACTATTGATGCTGGGCTCATAAGCTGCCTTTCCTATTATATGGAACTAGCCTACTTACTATTACTAATATTATTAAATTCAAACTTTTTATTGAAATATACTTAAACAGAAAAGTATATAAATTTTGTGTGGTTTGATTAATTTTTACAAGGTGAACAAACCTGTGTAAACCACTACCCTGATGAAGAATACTAGCACTAGCACCTTGGTAGCCACTTCTCCTGACTTCTGTCCCCATAGATTAGTGTGTCTGTGTAACGTTACATAAATATGTTCTATTTTGAATTTGGCTTCTTTTTTCAATACTAACTTTCTGAGATTCATTATTGTTGTCATATAGTAATACTTTGTTCTTGCACTGCTGTCTAATTTATTTTACCGTTGATGGGCATTTGCATTGTTTCCAATTTGGAGCTATTATAAACATCCTTGTATAGCTTTTTAGTGTATATATCCAGGAATAGACTTGCTGGGTCATAGGCTAAGTATATGTTCTATTTTAGTGCTAGCATAATTTTTTTTTTTTTTTTGACAAGGTTTCACTTTCCCTCTTTCCCAGGCTGGTCTCAAACTCCTGGCCTCAAGTGACCTTCCTGCCTCAGGCTCTCAAAGTGCTAGGATTATATGTGTGAGCCACCAAGTCTGGCCAATGCTAGGATTCTTTTTTTTCCTTCTTTTTTAGAATTTGTTTTTTCTATTTTTTCATTCTTCAGGACAAACAGCAGCTAGCATTCTTTTGATCCCCACTTTGGAGTCATCTCTGATACCTCTATCCCCACATTTGGTTCCTAGGGGTAAAAGAGTACAGAGTGCAGCAGTATTGTTTCTGGATTTTTCTTCCAAGTTGCTGACACCCATTCTGCACATTTTGCCACTGGCACAGGGTTATCAATGACAAATACCTCACAACTCTCATATGCTAAACAGAATTATAAGGCACAGTGATGGTAAGATATGTTCTGATTCTGAATATTAAAATGAGGGTGGGGTGGGGAATTTGTGCATCTTGGAATTGGTGAAATAAAGTATAATAGGGAAATAACAAGGTTCAAGGACCAAGCCCCTGGGGACTCTAACAGAGGTTGAACAGAGGGAAGCTGGGGTAGGCGTGGTGTCTCAAGACCTGTAGCAGAGTTTGAAAAAGGAAGGAATGGCCAATGGTGTCAGAGGCCCGTCAGGACAGAGAATAGATCTCTGAAGTTATTGAAACAGAGGTTGTAATGACTTTTCTTCTTTTTTTGAGACAGAGTCTTGCTGTCACCCAGGCTGGAGTGCAGTGGTACAATCAGATCTCACTGCAGCTCTAAACTCTTGGGCTTAAACCATCCTCTTGCTTCAGCCTCCTAAGTAGCTAAGACCACATCACACCTGTAGAGATAGAGTCTGCTATGTTGCCCAGGCTGGTCTTGAACTCCTGGACTCAAGCAATCCTCCCTTCTTGGCCTCTCAAAGTGGTGGGACTACACTCGTTAGCCACCATACCTAGCTGGTTATGACGACTTCATTAGGAGCTGTTTCAAGTGAAAGGGTGGGAAGAAAATTCCCATTAAACTGGGTGGAAGACGGACTTGGAAACAAGCCAATAGAGATGGGGAGCATAAACAGAATATTTGCTTTGAAAGGGTGAAAAGAAATGGGGTGTAATCAAAGGCAGACTTGGGCTTTTGATTTTTTAAAATGGGGATATTAAGCCATGTTTGTACAGAGATTTGCAGCCAACAGTGAAGGAGAAATGAATGGTACAGAAGATAGACGGACAGTCACAGAGGGAAGTTCTTCAGACCCTAAGCAGAGGAGTAAACTTAGGAAGCAAGGGAAAACAGGCAGGTACTAGTGAAGTCCAGGAGCTGGATTTCGTGTTAGGAAAGTAAGATAACTTTCGCCAGATTGCAGTAGTTAGGCCAAGGAACTGGCTAGTTCTGGACGTTAACTTTCCTCTCCCTAAAATGGGCACGTATTTGAGAGCACAAGTGGACTGCACACCACTCTTCCCTTCAGCTACCCACCGGTCCCTCACCTGTGAGTGAGCGCAAAGGGTTAACTACGTGGTGAAAGGGCAGCTAGATACCAGGACACAGGCTCTCCATCCAACCCTTCTTCAGGCGCCCCTAGCTTCCACCAACCTTTGCCATTCTCATTTCGGCACCAGGTCACATTCTACCCCCTCCTCCCACTCCTTTAACTGGAAGAGGCGGGGCTCGAGCCAGAGCAGGAGGGCACGTACCGGTCTCCGGTTGCGCCTGTGCGTTGGGCTCCCGTGGGGTCTCAACGCTTTTCCTTCCCGGCCCAGCACACAGACGTGAAGCTAGCTCTCCGGCGCTCGCTCGCGTGCGCGCTCGCGCCCGGGAGGCGCCTGCGCAGAGGAGAGAGGAAACTGGTGCCCCCGTGCGGTCCCGGCGCCTGCGCGCTGCGGGCTCCGGGGCCTCCCGGCCTGAGGGAGAGGAGCGGGGAAGATGGCGGCTGTGGTAGAGAATGTAGTGAAGCTGTGAGTGGTCATTTCTTTCTCTCTTAGGCCAGGAGGTCTTGTAAGGGGCCTGGAAGTAGGGGGCGGTGCGGGAAGGAACGAGGCGGGGAGAGGGACATGCCCGGGAAGGCCATGTTGCGACTCCTAGTGGGGAGGGAAACAGGAGACTCCGGAAAAGACGTTGCGCTTCTTTGGAAACTTGTGGAGGGCCTGAGGGGGGCACACGGGAACCTCTGACGGGAAGCCTCCCTGTGGGGACGTAAGGTCTGAGCGCTCCTCGGGGCTTACGGTTTCCAGAGTATGGCGCCCTGGCTGCGTACGAGAAACTTGCCGTCCAGTTCCTCTCCGAGACGCCTCCGTCCGGGGGAACCGGGCCGAGGCCCGGGCTGTCCCGCGACGAGTCCCGGCCGACCCCTCCCCATCTGCTGCCCTCAGTCGCCCCTGGAGCAACAGGCTCGGCGGCTCCGGCGCGTGTAAGGACTGCGGGACTGTTTTAGTTCTAAGCGGCCCTGTGACGTTCGAGGGGGTCTTGGGTAGCAGGTACCTGAGACTAAAAATATTCTTGGGAAGAATTTGTGGAGGAGCAGGTACAGAGGGAAAAAACTTAAGGAAAGTGGGCCTTTGAGTCAGCCAGTCGCAGCCATCAAAAGCCGGGAACTGGACTGAAGCAGTCCACTTGAGAGATTAGAGGGACATCTAAGTGGACATTCTTCCTATATTATGATACCATTGTGCTGGTGAGATTTCGAGCAAAGTTAAAGTTAATGGTTGTTGGAGACATAGAGACTGGCCTGTTAACCTCTTTCTGTGAGTTGAAGATGCTTTGGGACTTGATTGTCCAGCCTCCTTCCTCCCTGAAGAACTGAAGAAGAATCTGAATGAGTTTTGAAATGGGTTAATACCCCGTGAGCTAATAGAGCAAGCTTCTTTTAATAGGTATGTAGGGCTTGGTGCAAGGGTAGGAAAATTGAGTGCTGTCTAGTTGTCCAGTTGGGGCTTTTGACTGGATGATGAGATAAAGGTTGGGGACTTACAGCTTCTCTTTGTCATGCGCTGAGCCCCCCCCCCTTCCCAAGAGCCTTTTTAAGGGGTAAGTTGCTTCTCCCTCCTGCCTGGAGCTTTTTCTTTGAGCATGCTTTCCCACTTCCATTAAGCTAAGTGCCTTCCCCTCCTTGTGGTTTTTTTTTTTTTTTAAACTTGCGTTCTGCTCCATTCTGCTGCCTCTTTCAGCCATCCCTCCTCCCAACACTATTATGTTTCTCTCTGATCTGCCCACTCCAGTTTCCCCAGCTCTCTCTTCAGGCTGACATTTTTCTCAATTTAGAAATGACACTGTTGATATACCATTTATACAGTTATCCTTCCTGACTCAGATGTTTTTTCTTTGTTTCCCTGCCCTTTGTTGACTTCCCCCATCTCATTGTAAGGGAGGCTTTACACAGGTTTCATGATTATCGAAAAAGAATCAAAGCTTCTACCTGGGAAATCTTACTGTACTGGGGGAATGTCAAAGTTGCCTGGGTTTTAAGAGTTTTATGTAATGAGGCTGTTTGTGTTGGAAGACTTTCTTCAGGGAAATAGGATTTCCAGCCCTTTCATATAGTGTTATAAGTGAGGGATTGCCCATTTAAATAGAGTATGACTTCTCATTTCCTTTTAGAGAACTGTAGAGATTATGAGGATCGATCACCAGCCACTAATTCCTGAGCACTAGTAATGAAAAAACAACTTTCTCCTCCTGATTTCTAGCTGCAGAGGGCCATGGACCACAATTAATACAGTCCCCTGCAGAACTGTCTTTTTAACAAGGGGCTTCCATTCTTCCTGTACCATTCTCACTCTGGAAAGAGATGCTTTTCTGGTGCTTCTCTTAATTATAGTATGCCTAGGCTTCTGACAGCTGAGGTTATACATTGAGGTCAGGAGTACTAGCTCATCTTTTCTAACTTGCATCTTGTCCTGGGAGAAGAATTTTCCTATTTGGAAATTCTCTGTCCCTCGCAAATGTGATGTTAGGATTACAACAGTCTTTAAGAGATCTTACTAGTGTAAAATAATAGTATAAAATAGCTGTGGCTGCTGACTGGTTTTGAAACTTTCTGAGTTAGATAAGATCTAGAGAATAAAATTAACTTGAAATTTCTTGCTACAGGAGCCCTAAGTTCTTAGGAGCTCTCTCTCTCGGTCTCTTGTGCTCTCTCTTCATCAGATTCTACACACACACATTGCCTCTCTCTCTTTCTCCAAGTGTTTCATTCCCAGCCTTGTTACCCAGAAGACTGCTTGCCTCACCTGAAATCCCACTTAACTCACAAGAGCTCTGACACAACATCTCATTCATTCCCCCTAAAATCCTTTCCAGCCTCCTTGCTGTGACTTTGCAGCCCTCAGCCAATCTGGCCCTTCCTTCCATTTGACTTTCAGTGTCGGTATCAATTCCCATCAGCAGAAACAAAGGAGCTGCTGCACTCAGCCTTGTTTATCCAATTTTACTGTGTGGTGAGGACGTGGCTGCCTCCTAAAGGCGAGCAAATGTGAGCCTCTCCCTTCTCCCTTCTGCTTTCCTGTACAAGATTCGTGCCTACCTCAGATTATAGTCATTATAGCTCATTGAATCAAGCCAGACTGTACTGTGGTATTGCCATCTCTTTGTGTGGTATGTGTCTTTTTTACTTGCTAGAAATATGCTAAGCTGTGAGGTGGTCTGTTGTGACTTCTTACTGAAGGCCTTCATCAAATTCCTGAGCAGAGTTTGTTGATGTAGTCAATTTATAGACATAAGTTCGTTTTCTCATGCCTGGGCTTTCTTTCACATAGAATCCTGGTATGTCAGAGTTCATCTAGTCCAACCTCCCCCATCTAGAAGAGGAATGAGGTCCACCTGTGTTAACCAAACATCCATGTTCATGTGGTGACTTGCACCCTAACCAGGTCTTTTTACTCTCAAGTCTGTGTTCCAGACATCTTCCTGGGTATTGGGGATGCAATGGGAAAGAAATTGTCTCTGCTCTCAGGTTTAAGACTGATTGAATATAAATATGAATTGTTTCAGTTATTTTAATCTGTTACCAAAGTGCTTGTTAAACCCTGAAGAATGAGAACAAGATTGGTTCTCCATAAACATATACATGCTTCTTAGCACCAGATAACTTCTAGCACTGTGCAGTTTTCCAGCTTTTTAAAGCACTTACCCTTGATTCAAATTTAAAATTGAGTCTTTTGAGACCAAGAAACTTTTCTCTTATATAATTTGTCCGAGAATGGGGAGGGCCCCAGGATGGGCCTTAGAGCAAACGGATTTCATATCAGTAATAGTGCTCAAAAAAAGCTTCAAGGAACTTTAGGAATTTGCAAATGTCTTCCATAAATGTAAAATTAATATGTAAAATTAATTAGTTGGTTAAAAGCCTAGGTCTAAATCCAAAAGATATAAAAAGGCATATGGAAGAAAGTGCCCTAGTCACCCAGTTTTTCTCCCTGGAGGCTTGCAGTTTCTTTTCTACCTCTTTGTTACATAAAAGGTAGCATCCTGTGACACTTCTCAGCACTGTACTTTGCTTTTTTTCCCTAATTATCTTGGAAATTGTTTAAGTATCAGTACATGAAGAGTGCCCCCCTTTTTTTATGGCTAAATTGAATTTTATTGTATGGATTTACTGAAGTTTGCTAAATATGTTTTAGTAAGTCCCCTAGACCTTGTTGAACTCTTTCCCACTTTTCTAAGGAGGTGCTAACATCTGTTTCTCAGAGTCAAGAGAGTTAACATCTTTTTTTCTTTTTTTGAGACAGAGTGTCACTTTGTTACTTTGTTGCCCAGGCTAGAGTAAGTGCCATGGCCTCAGCCTAGCTCACAGAAACCTCAAACTCCTGGGCTCAAGCAATCCTGCCTCAGCCTCCCGAGTAGCTGGGACTACAGGCATGTACCATCATGCCCAGCTAGTTTTTTCTATATGTATTAGTTGGCCAATTAATTTCTTTCTATTTATAGTAGAGACGGGGTCTCGCTCGCTCTTGCTCAGGTTGGTTTCGAACTCCCTAGCTCAAAGGATCCACCTGCCTTGGCCTCCCAGAGAGCTAGGATTACAGGCGTGAGCCACCGAGCCCAGGCGAGAGTTAACATCTTAACTAGCACAGGGCTAGACTTATGAGAAGTCCTCTTCCTGGGGTTAGACTTAAGTCTGATTAGATACATGATGAAATCATGTGTTTCTTTCTTTTCTTTTCTTTTTTTTTTTTTTGAGACAGAGTCTCCCTTTGTTGCCCAGGCTAGAGTGAGTGCCGTGGCGTCAGCCTAGCTCACAGCAACCTCAAACTCCGGGCTTAAGCAATCCTACTGCCTCAGCCTACCAAGTAGCTGGGACTACAGGCATGCACCACCATGCCCAGCTAATTTTTTCTATATATATTAGTTGGCCAATTAATTTCTCTCTATTTATAGTAGAGACGGGGTCTCACTCTTGCTCAGGCTGGTTTCGAACTCCTGACCTTGAGTAATCCACCCGCCTCGGCCTCCCAGAGTGCTAGGATTACAGGTGTGAGCTACCACGCCTGGCCGAAATCACGTGTTTCTGGTGGCAATTTATTTGTAAAGTGCCTTTCCTCATGATGGCTTAGTGAAGGGCCTTGGTGTCCCATGAGGCAGATATGGAGGCAAATAGAACCAAAGAGACAGTCTCCCAGTCCCTTGAGCCTTCTAGAGAAGCAGATGGCAGGGGAGCAGAATAGTGCAGCATCCCACACCCCCTACCCCAACACACACACACACACCTGATTTTTATCTTCCCTGCAGCCTTGGGGAGCAATACTACAAAGATGCCATGGAGCAGTGCCACAATTACAATGCCCGCCTCTGTGCTGAGCGCAGTGTACGCTTGCCTTTCTTGGACTCACAGACCGGAGTCGCCCAGAGCAACTGTTATATCTGGATGGAAAAGCGACATCGGGGTCCAGGTGAGGGTCCAGACTTGGGAGAAGGGGACTCAGGAGCACAAGGGGAAAGAAGTTTCCTCATCGTAGGTGATGAAGCCATTGAGAGAGTTTTCCCTGGTGCTTTCTATCTTTGGATGGACATGGTCTTCCTATGACTAGAAACCCAGGGAGGGTGAAGCAGACAGGTTCATAGCAGCATCTTTGTTTTTTTGACCTGCTCAAGCCCTTATTGTGCATCTGGAGAGCTATGTGTTAGCCAAGGCCCGTAAGTTTACATTTCTTTTTTTTTTTTAAAAAATCAGTCATCCAAGGTTTACATTTCTTTTCCACAAACTATTTCACCCAACCCACCAGGCTCTCACTGTCAGTATTTCTCACTTGCTCTAGAACTCAAGGGGGCCCTACTCATCTAGAAAGTGTTTGATATTATTTTCTAGGGCAGTGTTAGGGTTTGACTTCTCTCTTCCTTCCTTCCTTCCACAGGATTGGCCTCTGGACAGCTGTACTCCTATCCTGCCCGGCGCTGGCGGAAAAAACGGCGAGCCCACCCCCCTGAGGATCCACGACTTTCCTTCCCATCTATTAAACCAGGTAAGACACACCCTCCCTGGGGAAGGGCAGAACCTGTTGCATGCTAGGAGGCCTGCTAATCACCTGTTATGTGCCAGGCCAAATGCTAGATTCTGAAGATACTAAAATGAATAAGATGTGATTCCTTCCTTTAAAGAGCTCAGTCGAGTAAAGGAGACAGGTAAACAGATAGGTTACAGTGCCATTGAACTAAGGTGTCTTGGTTCATGGGCAACCAGAGAACAGAAGACAGTGATTGGC